GAAGATCCTCTGGATCAAGGAGAGTCCTCCTGGTCCTGGCGGCTTGCAGCGCTTCCCTCTTGCCTGTGCCTCTTGAGTGACTTGCGGAAGGATTATGCCTGGGCAGAAGCCGGTGGAAAGGTGAAGGTCTACGTCGACTGTGACTTCCTTCCCGAGGACCCATGCAGCGATTTGCAGCCAACATGCGCGCGATGCCACGCTTCAAACCGACGAATGCGCCGAACCGTACTTGTTTCTGCTTGCATGTACATGTGTACCCGACACGTAATGATAGGATACGATGCGATATGATGTGATAATGTGATGTGATGAGATGTGCGATGATGTGGAGCGACGTGATCTGATATGACATGACTTATAAGGATTCATCCATGCATCTATCCACCTATCCATCCATCCANNAATGTGATCAACCGGGATCGCCTAATCAGGGCGCGTGTTTGGGATACTTACAAGGATCGCCATGAGGATGTGTTATGCATCGGGCTCACCAAATGAAGGGGCGTGCTAAAGAATAGTGTTGAATACCTGGATCGGCAAATGAGGGGACGTGTCTCAAGGGACTAAAGGAGAGACCCTATCTGGACCCTTGGGGTTATATAGTGGATTAGGGGTCCCTTCTAGGGGTCTCTCCTATTGTCCCTTAAGTGTCTGAGTTCTATGTTGACTCGGGATCACCAAAGGATGGGGCGAGTTTGAAACATCTGACCACCTAGTGAAGCCTACCCTAGACCTTCCGGTTCCGTGCTGTGAACTGCGAACGCAAAAGTTTTTGCGTACTACACAATCCCTCGACTTGCCGGTTTCGTGCTGTGAAGTGCGAATTTGGTAGTCTGAGGTGCAGCCACTGTAGCTTGACTCTTGCATACGAAACAGGCCCCGGTCTGCGCTTAAACGGGCGTTCTGCACTGTGCGCCTTAGACGCTTCCCCGTGTGCGGCTTAAACTGTTTCCCCCGAGACTTGAAGTATTGCTGAGCTGCTGCGATTCACGGTTTTCCACAAGCATATCGATTATTTACAATAATACACACACACACACCCACACACACACCCACACACACACCCACACACACCCACACACACCCCCACACACACACAGCCACCCACACACAGCCACCCACACACACACCCACCCGCACGCACGCACGCACGCGCACGCACGCNNCACACACCCGCGCGCGCGCGCGCGCCTAGTACCTTCTGTAGATGACGAAAAGTATGCACTGCACCACAGCGGGAGACGCATGCAGCGAGCATCCTGTGTAAATAACAGGATGCAAGGACCAAATTTGCACCATGTGCTCTACATAAAAGGATGTGGGGAGTGGGCAAAACCGCGAAGAACGTGATTTTAAAGGAACATGTCCACCCTGCCATAGTTGCAGCTGCTCTGGGAAGCAGAAACCAAGAAATCACACAAGCAACAAAAACTCCTAAATTAGTTTTCGCAATCGGCCTATATAACTAAATGGACAGATAGATAGACACACAACAAAGCTTCGTGGACTTATCTACTTACATGTAACAATAGATACCTAGATCTCTGGAAGCTTTGGTAGATACACATGTACTGAAATCGGCATGTAGAATGGTAAGCGCCATCGTTTTCATGTTAACGCAAGGCGGCCGATTTGGGGTTGCGGTTTCTAGTGAGAGCAAACATGCGAGACATCACATCCAAAGGTTTCAAGAGGCCTGCCTTTTTGGTTTCGCATGATGCAAAAACACTGTCCCCGCCAGGATGCGCAGGACGACATCGTCGTGGCCTCAGCTGTTGCACCACATGTTGCAGCCCGATTGCTGTGGCTGTGAGGCTTCTGCCACTTTTGACACCCGGTCCTTCGTGTTGGATATCGCCAGCCAGCAACGAAGGCAGACAAGAGCAATCGTTTCATCACGGTATGCAGCTCCCATCCATGCATGCCTTTGCTGCATTCTGGCAAGGAGGTTGAAGGTGGAGAAGTTGCACGCCGAGATCAAACCGGAGGAGTGCAAGGTCCGCGTCGAGGCAACCTGAAAGCAGGCACTAGTACCACGCAACCAACCTCAACCAGCCAACTGTGTGTAGGACAGGGCAGATCCCAGCGCGCCAAGCAGTAGGTGTCGACGCTTCCAGAACTGCGCAGAGTAGGCCGTCATCTTTCGTTTCCCAAGCCCTACAGTCCTACAGACCGTGACATAGGACCCCACCTGAAATCCTAAAACTGTCAGACTGTCCCCCGGCCTGGTTTAAAGTAAACCGCCATGCTCTCGCCTTGTGGTCTCGGCCTACGACTAGGCCGCAAAGCGGCGGGTAACGGTCACGCTGGCGAAGAAGCGCATCTGGGCTGCATGTGACGGACTGGCCTCTCTCTCGAGTTCTTTCGTGGGCTCTATACTCAAAGGTGAAACCACCTGGCGCAGCCTTGTCCTCCAGAAGTGAGAGAGAGTTGCTGTCATCTTGGAGTGCGGGATTCCCCTTCAATGCCAGCTTGCACGTAGCCGCAGCCTGACGTAGGATGTACAGGTCATGCACGCTGTGGAGGAAAGCGTTGCTGCATGCTTGGGCAGCTGGACATGTCTGAGAGATGTCAAGACCAAAGCTGGAGCCCTTCTCTCAACCATGTCCCATTCCTGTCCCTGTGTTCCGTGTCTGTTCTGTGTGGCTTAGCCTTTTTTTTCAAGAAAATGGCTTTCAACGGACTGTTTCTGCACGGAACACTGCGCTGAGAGACCTAGACTTGACATTTGGAGAAAGAGAGTCCGCCAATTGTAAGACACGAGGAAAGCCGATGTTGCGTCGGGTGAGCTGCGGGCAGGTCCTTTTCGGCTGCTTCAAGCGCAAGCTGCGAAGCGACGTCAAGGCGCTCCGGTCCGCAGACCGCTGGGGGCAAAGGAAGGGCCAGAATCCGAGGTGGCCCAGCTCGTGGGCTATGTGTCGGAGCAAGCGGCGTATCATCACGGAGAGATGGCCTTGGTGTGGCACCCGGAACATATGGGGGGGAATGGCGATGTACACAGCAGCCCCACAACCCTTGCTTCTCAGTCGGAGACCATCGTCGGCATGGCGCAGGATTTTGTTGGGTCCAACAACATCAACCTGCCCCTCAGTCGCATTCGATGTACGGCCTCAGCAGCGCCTTAATTTCGCACCCGATTGAGGCTCGTTCCGCAAGGACAGTTTGGCACACGATTGCAGGGCGGCAAGGTGCGTCGCAGGGCTTTTTGCTCCATGGAGTGGTGATGCAGTCAATGCTCAAGACTCAAGAGCAAAGGACTCGGCTTCCGCACGATACATCTACACGCGTGCTGACCCAAGTGAGGTATATACTGTAGCCACGCATCGCATAGTAGGGCACATTGCCTGGGGGGGCCGTGTGGGGCAGACGGCTATTTTGCTGTTTGCGGATTGGCCTCTGGTTCCGCCGTGTCAGTCTGACAGCCTTATACAGCCTTTGAAGCCATGCTTCTCTACTTCGAGATATCGCGATCAGTCACGCGCTGGCTACGCCTGCGACTTGATGTGCAAGCCTCGGCTGGCATCTTGGACCCAAGGGGCTGCGCCTTGGGGAACGAAGCTTGAATGTTTCACACCGACGCACGACCCAACATTTTTCACATCTGGCGGCTGGGGTCTCACCTGGCGGCCGATAGTACGGTTTGTGGTTTACGGCTCACGACATCCATGCCCACGGCACGCTTGACAGAGCTCGCTAGTCAACGCTACCCCATGACAATGATGGATCTGATTCCTTTCGGCGAAAGGGGATTGTTTTGTAGTTGTCCACTCGCAAGATGCACTTGCTCGAAGCGAATGCAAGGCCTCTTGTTGAGGGGATGGTTTCCTGGCTTTGCCATGTTAAAATCTGTTTCGAAAAACGGTCATCTACATCAGCGTCACATAAGTATCGTCACATCAGGTCATCCCAAGCGCCGCCATTGAAAAGCCCTTCGCTACGCGTTCGGGGAAAACGCAGAAGGATCCAAATTCATTTTGCAGTCGTGTCGGGCCGTGTGGGAGCGAGAGTTCCTGGATTCCCATGTTTAGGCTGGAGGGAGCGCCGGTGCTGTGACAACGTGCTGGGTTGGGGAGGACTTGCGTTTGCTGCACACTGTGTGTTTCACACAGTGCGATGGACGTACAAATGTCTTGGCCGAAAACTGGGAACCACTCAAAACTCTACGCTTGATTCTTTGCCTTTACGCTTTACACAGTGTTCCCGTGTGACAAAGCGTGGTTAGCGAGGCCTGGCGCCGATCACACGTTTCTTATTCCCGGCCTCTGCGCGGCACTCGGCTGCGATGCGAGATGCGAGCGTTCTGCTGCCAGACAAACATAGTGTTGACCGACTGTGGATTTGGATTCTGCAAGGACGATCCTGTGTTGGAGTATTTGAGCGAGGACGGCATGTCCATCGAACCTCGCTTCCTGCTCGGCTGTGTACTGCATCCTGTCCTGCATCTTTCGAAAGGGGCCAAGCAAGAAGTTGCTACTCGTAAGGCTGGTACTGTCCAGTCATCCCCATGGTCTTGGTGAATGGTGTCGAAGGGATCGGCATCTTGGCATATCTTGGCAACAGCTGGCCCTTAAGTCGGCAAAGAAAGCTCTCTCTCTCTCTCTCTCTCTCTCTCTCTCTCTCTCTCCCCCTGCCACTCAGGCACGGGCTGGAGTTCGTCGGTGCCGAATTTCAACCCACGTGCACCTTGGCAAGTGGGTGGCCGCCAGGGGAGCACGGTGAACTTGCAACGGTTTCTGAGGACATCATCGAGAATCTCAGGCGCGGTTCTGTGGCAAAACTCGGCTTGTCTTCATGCGGTCAAGTTGCTATACCTCGGCAGGAGGTGGCTCAAAAAGCAAGAGCTTAAGGAGATGACGCCGTGGTTTGCAGGTCAGGCTGAAGAGTCGAAGGTTCAAAGATGTGCTTCCTCTTGTCTGCCAGGTTTCACCGGCAGCATCTCGAAATCGCGAGAAGAAGGCAAGTGGGAGGCGCCTTCCTTGAGGCCCAGGCAATGCAGCGGGGACGGGTCTGCAGAGAGCTCTGCCAGGTCACGGGCAACATCAGGAACCTCGGGGAAGGCAGGAGCACGGAAGATCATGGAGAAATTTTGGAACCCATGAGCTCTGAGCCCCACAGCATGAATAACGCCTGAACTGCAAGCTCGAAAAGCAACGGCGGACAAAACCCGAAGAACATACAAGACGACTCTCGAACTTCAAATCGAGGCGGAAGCTGAGGCCCAAGCAAAGCCCAGCGAGCAGCGAGGCAAAGCCGAAATCACCGAGCTGCCGGTGAAGCGATGGACACAGGCCCCGCCCTTTTCTTTCGCTTCACCCGGCCGAGGGGGGGCTAGCATTGTGGGGGGACGGCCAGGACTATCGAGAAATCCTGGAAGAGAACCTTCCAAAAGGGGAGCTCCGCTCTCGGCCAATGCTCGGCCATCCAAGAGTCAAGATACTTGAAGCTTTTCCATGCGAGGAAGAAGCGGGAGGGGCCAAAGCTCCTAGAAGACTACCAAGAGTACGGACCTTAAAGATTCTCGTGTTGCGACGTTTTGCAACGTGAAAAAGCGCAGAACCTGGAAGGTACCATAGTGAGAAGTCCGTGCATTTTGAGCCAGATGCCCACTTCTGCCTGTCAGCGCTTTGGGCTTTTTTTTGCTTGTTTCTCTCTCTCTCTCTCTCAGGTTGTCTTTGAGCTCAGAGGGCCAGCTCCACGCGGACAAGGACAGTTCTGTTATGCATGCTTTCGTTGGGGCCACCTGCTCGCTTGACGCCCAAAAAGAGCGCTGCCCAACAACGCCAGGACAATCTGGAGAAGGCAGCGGAAAACCAAATAGCCCAAATGGGCCCAAACTCTCCCAATCGGTGCCCATCTCTGCGCAGTACGATGTGTCACCAGGTCTTCAAGCTTCGCTCGTCCATCAGCATGAACAACATGGTGCCTTGGATGTCGCTTTTTGGGGTGTCGTGACCCGTGTACTCCTCTTCTTCCGGAAACAGAGCCCTAAACCCCTCTTTTCCAGATGCTCTTCGATGCTGACGGCAAGATCAAGAAGTACGCGCGGGGCCTTGGCTCCGATCCGCTGAGCGGTGTGCCGAAGATGCATGCCTGAAGAGAAGAGGACACTCCAAAAGACATCCTGCAAGACTTCGCGCACGTCCGGTTAAAGATCTACGAGACGTACTGGTCTCTGTATACAGCTGCACCATTAACTGCAAGGCTGCTCACTTTCGAACAGCCGAGGCGCAAGGCGTACCTGTTGGCGCGGCTCACCCGCGAATGTGAGGCACACCTGCGGTCAGTGGCAACTGGCAACTGGCAGACGGCTTCGGGTTGGCCCTGAAGCAATTGAAGGTGTGCAAAAAAAAGCCATGAATCGTGTCGGGGTTCAGCCATGTGTCTGCGGCAAAAAGCTCTCCAGGTGTTGAGCGCCAAGGCGCGCTTTGTGAAGCTGGTCATCGAGGGGAGAATCGTGATCCGAAAGCGGTCGATGCCTGAGCTCCAAAGCCGACTTGGCTTTGGAGCTGTGGGGCGTTCTGCGTGCCAGGAAGATCGCTGACTTGGCCCAGGAGATCCCTGCAGGGCCGTGTACTAAGCCGTGCCAGCTTACCGGAACCGTCTTGTTGGCAGCAGGACCTCCGGAAGCATGGCTTCAAAGCGCTTCGCGACCTCCAAGGCTCAAAGCTTCGTGCTGAAGTCTCGAAGTGCCGGTGAGAGCTCGTGAGGCGAGCAGTCTGAGGAGAAGGAGGACTTGCTTGCAATGCCTGTTTCGTGTGCCATTCTGTCAGAGAACATCCGCGAGTTGCGCAGCTGTTCCTCTCAAGATGCAGGCCTATTTTCAAGTGGCGAATGTGCTGAAGACTCTGTAAATTCCTGTACATAGCCTCCCGGTCCGGGTTTCTCCGTGAACGGCAGCTGCCCGAGAAGCCGGGCTATCAACGAGTCCTTGGGTCGGCACATCTCTGCTGACGTTTTGGGCAGCGTTGAAAGGGCGTAGAGGGCGCGCTTGGCCCCAGGTGATGCCTCGCAGCGTGGTCTCGGGCAAAGTTGTCTTCAGGCGCTGTTGTGATGCTCCAAGAAACTCACCGCGGTTCCAGCACAGGTTTTAAACTCCTCGTGAATTATACGTTTTGTGTTCTCGAAACCGTGCTATGCCTCAGTGTGATTGGACTCCGTTTGGCCATGTCGTGTAAATGTTACCCTCAAGCATGTGTGCATTCAAAGCGAGCCGTTGCTACCTTGCTGGCACCCGAAATCAACAAAACAAATTCGAAAAACACGGAGGGGGATTTCCGAAAACGGCCGGTCAGGCCCAGGCTCACAAAACCGGAATCAGAAAGCAACGAAGACGATATCATAAAACAGCCCAGAATCAGACAACAAAATCAGAAAACAGGAAAGAGAAAAGCAGAAGACGGATGTAACAAAAACTCAGCAAACACAAAAAGACCCTATACGACCCTAAACCTGCAACAAATCCTGCCCTGACTTTGCAATGGTTCTTCTACGACCTCTTCTTGGCGGACGTGGACGAGCACGAGGCGCAGCCTGACCGCGGTCCCTTCACCCCTCGGCTTTGGCCACAAACCGCGAGGTGAA